AGAGAGAGAGACACAGAGAGACACTGAGAGACCCAGAGAGAGAGAGACACAGAGAGACACAGAGAGACACAGAGAGACACAGAGAGACACGGTGAGACACGTGGACGAAGTAGGCCGGGACCAGCAGCAGGGAGAGGATGGTGAAGCCAAACAGACCTGGGGTAGGGGAGAGACAGGGGGAGAGAGACACAGAGACATAGGGAGATAGAGAGAGACACAGAGAGAGAGAGACACAGAGAGAGAGAGACACAGAGAGAGAGAGAGAGAGAGACACAGAGAGACACAGTGAGACACAGGGAGACACAGAGAGACACAGTGAGACACAGGGAGACACAGAGAGACACAGAGAGACACAGAGAGACACAGAGAGACACGGGGAGACACGTGGATGAAGTAGGCCGGGATCAGCAGCAGGGAGAGGATGGTGAAGCCAAACAGGCCTGGGGTAGGGGAGAGACACGGGGAGATAGACACGGTGAGAGAGATACAGAGAGACACAGTGAGACACAGAGAGACACAGAGAGACACGTGGATGAAGTAGGCCGGGACCAGCAGCAGGGAGAGGATGGTGAAGCCAAACAGGCCTGGGGTAGGGGTAGGGGAGAGAGACACAGGGGGAGAGAGACACAGAGACACGGTGAGAGAGAGACACAGAGAGACACGGTGAGACACGGTGAGACACAGAGAGACACAGAGATGAAGTAGGCCGGGACCAGCAGCAGGGAGAGGATGGTGAAGCCAAACAGACCTAGTGGGGGAGAGAGAGGGGGAGATAGAGAGACACACAGAGAGAGAGAGAGACACAGAGAGAGAGAGACACAGAGAGAGAGAGACACAGAGAGACACTGAGAGACACAGAGAGAGAGACACACAGAGAGACACAGAGAGACACAGAGACACAGAGAGACACAGAGACACAGAGAGACACAGAGAGACAGAGATGAAGTAGGCCGGGACCAGCAGCAGGGAGAGGATGGTGAAGCCAAACAGACCTGGGGTGGGGGAGACACAAGGGGAGATAGACACAGGGAGATACAGAGAGACACAGAGAGAGAGAGAGACACAGAGAGACACAGAGAGACATGGTGAGACACAGAGAGACACAGAGAGACACAGAGATGAAGTAGGCCGGGACCAGCAGCAGCGAGAGGATGGTGAAGCCAAACAGACCTAGTGGGGTGGGGGAGACATGGGGAGACATGGGAGAGAGAGACACGGTGAGAGAGACACGGTGAGACACAGAGAGACACAGAGAGACACGGTGAGACATGGGAGAGAGAGACACAGTGAGACACAGAGAGACACGGAGAGAGAGAGACACAGAGATACAGAGAGACACGGTGAGAGAGAGACACAGAGAGACACAGGGAGACACAGGGAGACACGGTGAGACACAGAGACCCAGGGAGACACAGGGAGACACAGAGAGACACGGTGAGACACGGTGAGAGAGAGACACGGTGAGACACAGAGAGACACGGTGAGACACAGAGAGACACAGAGAGACACAGTGAGACACAGGGAGATACAGAGAGACACAGAGAGACACGGTGAGACACAGAGAGACACAGTGAGACACAGTGAGACACAGGGAGACACAGAGAGACACAGAGAGACACGGTGAGACACAGAGAGACACGGTGAGACACGGTGAGACACGGTGAGACACAGAGAGACACAGAGAGACACAGAGAGACACGGTGAGAGAGACACGGTGAGACACGGTGAGACACAGGGAGATACAGAGATACACGGTGAGACACATGGGGAGAGAGACACGGTGAGTGAGTGAGTGGGTGAGTGAGTGAGTGGGTGAGTGAGTGAGTGAGTGGGTGAGTGAGTGAGTGGGTGGGTGAGTGGTGAGTGAGTGAGTGACTGAGTGAGTGGGTGGGTGAGTGAGTGAGTGGTGAGTGAGTGAGTGACTGAGTGAGTGAGTGACTGAGTGAGTGAGTGACTGAGTGAGTGACTGAGTGAGTGAGTGGTGAGTGAGTGAGTGACTGACTGAGTGACTGAGTGAGTGAGTGGGTGGTGAGTGGTGAGTGAGTGAGTGAGTGGTGAGTGAGTGAGTGACTGAGTGACTGAGTGACTGAGTGGGTGAGTGAGTGGTGAGTGAGTGAGTGGGTGAGTGAGTGGTGAGTGAGTGAGTGGGTGGTGAGTGAGTGAGTGACTGAGTGAGTGAGTGAGTGGTGAGTGAGTGAGTGAGTGGGTGAGTGAGTGAGTGACTGAGTGACTGAGTGAGTGACTGAGTGAGTGACTGAGTGAGTGAGTGACTGAGTGACTGAGTGAGTGACTGAGTGAGTGACTGAGTGACTGAGTAAGTGAGTGAGTGGTGAGTGAGTGAGTGACTGAGTGAGTGACTGAGTGAGTGAGTAGGTGAGTGAGTGAGGACCTTCATTTCCCACAGCTTGTAGAGGGTGAATGTCGTCTTTGTGAATTAATTTCTCCTCCACCACCATCTGCACGGCAGCCACAATCTGAGCCAAGACGATCAGCAAGTCCCCTGGGAAACCACAACAACGACACCCACTCAGTGTGTAGTGTATAGTGTAGTGTATAGTGTGTAGTGTATAGTGTAGTGTATAGTGTATAGTGTAGTGTATAGTGTAGTGTATAGTGTAGTGTAGTGTGTAGTGTACAGTGTAGTGTATAGTGTAGTGTGTAGTGTAGTGTGTAGTGTAGTGTGTAGTGTGTAATGTACACTGTATTGTTAAGTGTAGTGTGTAGTGTAGTGTATAGTAGTGTATAGTGTAGTGTATAGTGTAGTGTGTAGTGTAGTGTATAGTGTAGTGTATAGTAGTGTATAGTGTAGTGTATAGTAGTGTAGTGTATAGTGTAGTGTATAGTGTAGTGTATAGTGTAGTGTATAGTGTAGTGTATAGTAGTGTAGTGTATAGTGTAGTGTATAGTATAGTGTAGTGTGTAGTGTATAGTGTAGTGTATAGTAGTGTAGTGTATAGTGTAGTGTATAGTGTAGTGTATAGTGCAGTGTATAGTAGTGTAGTGTATAGTGTAGTGTGTAGTGTAGTGTATAGTGTAGTGTATAGTAGTGTAGTGTATAGTGTAGTGTAGTGTATAGTGTAGTGTATAGTAGTGTAGTGTATAGAGTAGTGTATAGTAGTGTAGTGTATAGTGTAGTGTAGTGTATAGTGTAGTGTATAGTGTAGTGTATAGTGTAGTGTATAGTGTAGTGTATAGTAGTGTAGTGTATAGTGTAGTGTATAATGTAGTGTATAGTGTAGTGTATAGTGTATAGTGTAGTGTGTAGTGTAGTGTGTAGTGTGTAATGTACAGTGTATTGTTAAGTGTAGTGTGTAGTGTAGTGTATAGTAGTGTATAGTGTAGTGTATAGTGTAGTGTGTAGTGTATAGTGTAGTGTATAGTGTAGTGTGTAGTGTAGTGTATAGTAGTGTATAGTGTAGTGTATAGTAGTGTAGTGTATAGTGTAGTGTATAGTGTAGTGTACAGTGTAGTGTATAGTAGTGTAGTGTATAGTGTAGTGTATAGTATAGTGTAGTGTGTAGTGTATAGTGTAGTGTATAGTAGTGTAGTGTATAGTGTAGTGTATAGTGTAGTGTATAGTGCAGTGTTTAGTAGTGTAGTGTATAGTGTAGTGTGTAGTGTAGTGTATAGTGTAGTGTATAGTAGTGTAGTGTATAGTGTAGTGTAGTGTATAGTGTAGTGTATAGTAGTGTAGTGTATAGTGTAGTGTATAGTAGTGTAGTGTATAGTGTAGTGTAGTGTATATTGTAGTGTATAGTGTAGTGTATAGTAGTGTAGTGTATAGTGTAGTGTATAGTGTAGTGTATAGTGTAGTGTAGTGTATAGTGTAGTGTATAGTGTAGTGTAGTGTGTAGTGTATAGTAGTGTAGTGTATAGTGTAGTGTATAGTGTAGTGTAGTGTGTAGTGTATAGTGTAGTGTATAGTGTAGTGTATAGTGTAGTGTAGTGTATAGTGTAGTGTATAGTAGTGTAGTGTATAGTGTAGTGTATAGTGTAGTGTATAGTAGTGTAGTGTATAGTGTAGTGTATAGTAGTGTAGTGTATAGTGTAGTGTAGTGCGTAGTGTATAGTGTAGTGTATAGTAGTGTAGTGTATAGTGTAGTGTATAGTAGTGTAGTGTATAGTGTAGTGTATAGTGTAGTGTATAGTAGTGTAGTGTATAGTGTAGTGTAGTGTATAGTGTAGTGTATAGTGTAGTGTAGTGTGTAGTGTAAAGTGTAGTGTATAGTTGTGTAGTGTATAGTGTAGTGTATAGTGTAGTGTGTAGTGTATAGTAGTGTAGTGTATAGTAGTGTAGTGTATAGTGTATAGTAGTGTACTGTATAGTGTAGTGTAGTGTGTAGTGTAGTGTATAGTGTAGTGTATAGTGTAGTGTATAGTGTAGTGTAGTGTATAGTGTAGTGTAGTGTGTAGTGTAGTGTGTAGTGTATAGTAGTGTAGTGTATAGTGTAGTGTATAGTGTAGTGTGTAGTGTATAGTGTAGTGTATAGTAGTGTAGTGTATAGTGTAGTGTATAATGTAGTGTATAGTGTAGTGTATAGTGTAGTGTAGTGTGTAGTGTAGTGTGTAGTGTGTAATGTACAGTGTATTGTTAAGTGTAGTGTGTAGTGTAGTGTATAGTAGTGTATAGTGTAGTGTATAGTGTAGTGTGTAGTGTATAGTGTAGTGTATAGTGTAGTGTGTAGTGTAGTGTATAGTAGTGTATAGTGTAGTGTATAGTAGTGTAGTGTATAGTGTAGTGTATAGTGTAGTGTATAGTGTAGTGTATAGTAGTGTAGTGTATAGTGTAGTGTATAGTATAGTGTAGTGTGTAGTGTATAGTGTAGTGTATAGTAGTGTAGTGTATAGTGTAGTGTATAGTGTAGTGTATAGTGCAGTGTATAGTAGTGTAGTGTATAGTGTAGTGTGTAGTGTAGTGTATAGTGTAGTGTATAGTAGTGTAGTGTATAGTGTAGTGTAGTGTATAGTGTAGTGTATAGTAGTGTAGTGTATAGTGTAGTGTATAGTAGTGTAGTGTATAGTGTAGTGTAGTGTATAGTGTAGTGTATAGTGTAGTGTATAGTAGTGTAGTGTATAGTGTAGTGTATAGTGTAGTGTATAGTGTAGTGTATAGTGTAGTGTAGTGTATAGTGCAGTGTATAGTGTAGTGTAGTGTGTAGTGTATAGTAGTGTATAGTAGTGTAGTGTATAGTGTAGTGTATAGTGTAGTGTATAGTATAGTGTAGTGTATAGTGTAGTGCATAGTGTAGTGTAGTGTATAGTGTAGTGTATAGTGTAGTGTAGTGTATAGTGTAGTGTATAGTGTAGTGTATAGTAGTGTAGTGTATAGTGTAGTGTATAGTAGTGTAGTGCGTAGTGTATAGTGTAGTGTATAGTAGTGTAGTGTATAGTAGTGTAGTGTATAGTGTAGTGTATAGTGTAGTGTATAGTGTAGTGTATAGTGTAGTGTATAGTGTAGTGTAGTGTGTAGTGTAAAGTGTAGTGTATAGTTGTGTAGTGTATAGTGTAGTGTAGTGTGTAGTGTATAGTAGTGTAGTGTATAGTAGTGTAGTGTATAGTGTATAGTAGTGTACTGTATAGTGTAGTGTGTAGTGTAGTGTATAGTGTAGTGTATAGTGTAGTGTACTGTGTAATGTAGTGTATAGTGTAGTGTATAGTGTAGTGTATAGTGTAGTGTGTAGTGTAGTGTAGTGTGTAGTGTATAGTAGTCTAGTGTATAGTGTAGTGTATAGTAGTGCATAGTGTAGTGTATAGTGTAGTGTATAGTGTAGTGTATAGTAGTGTAGTGTATAGTGTAGTGTATAGTGTAGTGTATAGTGTATAATGTAGTGTATAGTGTAGTGTATAGTGTAGTGTATAGTGTAGTGTATAGTGTAGTGTATAGTGTAGTGTATAGTGTGTAGTGTATAGTGTAGTAGTGTAGTGTATAGTGTAGTGTATAGTAGTGTAGTGTATAGTGTAGTGTATAGTTGTGTAGTGTATAGTGTAGTGTATAGTGTAGTGTATAGTGTAGTGTAGTGTAGTTTATAGTAGTGTATAGTGTAGTGTGTAGTGTATAGTGTAGTGTATAGTAGTGTATAGTGTAGTGTATAGTGTATAGTGTAGTGTATAGTGTATAGTAGTGTAGTGTATAGTGTAGTGTATAGTGTAGTGTATAGTGTAGTGTGTAGTGTAGTGTATATTGTAGTGTATAGTGTAGTGTATAGTGTAGTGTATAGTGTATAGTAGTGCAGTGTATAGTGTAGTGTATAGTGTAGTGTAGTAGTGTATAGTGTAGTAGTGTATAGTGTAGTGTAGTAGTGTATAGTATAGTGTAATAGTGTATAGTGTAGTGTATAGTGTAGTGTAGTAGTGTATAGTGTAGTGTATAGTAGTGTAGTGTATAGTGTGGTGTATAGTAGTGTAGTATATAGTGTAGTGTAGTGCGTAGTGTATAGTGTAGTGTATAGTAGTGTAGTGTATAGTGTAGTGTATAGTAGTGTAGTGTATAGTGTAGTGTATAGTAGTGTAGTGTATAGTGTAGTGTATAGTGTAGTGTATAGTAGTTTAGTGTATAGTGTAGTGCATAGTGTAGTGTATAGTGTAGTGTATAGTGTAGTGTAGTGTGTAGTGTATAGTGTAGTGTATAGTAGTGTAGTGTATAGTGTAGTGTAGAGTGTAGTGTAGTGTGTAGTGTATAGTGTAGTGTAGTGTATAGTAGTGTAGTGTATAGTGTATAGTAGTGTAGTGTATAGTGTAGTGTGTAGTGTAGTGTATAGTGTAGTGTATAGTGTAGTGTAGTGTATAGTGTAGTGTATAGTGTAGTGTATAGTGTAGTGTAGTGTGTAGTGTAGTGTGTAGTGTAGTGTGTAGTGTATAGTAGTGTAGTGTATAGTGTAGTGTATAGTGTAGTGTAGTGTATAGTGTAGTGTATAGTAGTGTATAGTGTAGTGTATAGTGTAGTGTATAGTGTAGTGTATAGTATAGTGTAGTGTATAGTGTAGTGTAGTGTATAGTGTAGTGTATAGTGTAGTGTATAGTGTAGTGTATAGTGTAGTGTATAGTGTAATGTATAGTGTAGTGTATAGTGTGTAGTGTATAGTGTAGTAGTGTAGTGTATAGTGTAGTGTATAGTAGTGTAGTGTATAGTGTAGTGTATAGTTGTGTAGTGTATAGTGTAGTGTATAGTGTAGTGTATAGTGTAGTGTAGTGTAGTTTATAGTAGTGTATAGTGTAGTGTATAGTGTAGTGTATAGTAGTGTATAGTGTAGTGTATAGTGTAGTGTAGTGTATAGTGTAGTGTATAGTAGTGTAGTGTATAGTGTAGTGTATAGTAGTGTAGTGTATAGTGTAGTGAAGTGTATAGTGTAGTGTATAGTGTAGTGTATAGTAGTGTAGTGTATAGTGTAGTGTATAGTGTAGTGTAGTGTATAGTGTAGTGTAGTGTATAGTGTAGTGTATAGTGCAGTGTATAGTGTAGTGTAGTGTGTAGTGTATAGTGTAGTGTATAGTGTAGTGTAT